TATTTCGTCTTTCTGTTTTCAAATTATCTGTTTTTGTACAGATCATTTGAAATAAACGGCCCACAGATCTGTGCCATCTAAAACAGTGTCGACTACATTATTGCCACGCAAGTCGTACCATCACAAACGCATTTGTCTCAATTTTCATAATATTTGTTTACAAGGAAAAATAACTGATATCGCTTTAACTTTTGATCCAATTACCATTTTGTTAATTTTATTTTTAATAAATATTGCATCCTTAGTCTACGTTCAAAGCATATTTATTATTATTTATCACTGTTAGAACATAAATATTTTTTATATTGTTTTCAACATTTTGAAATAGCCATTTTTTAGCCTTTTTCATACAAACATTTTGATAGATAACAATTTTAGGATGAGGAATAACTAATATAATAATATTTTTTATACTTGAAATGTATAATACACGTATATTCGTGTTTTATGAAAGAAAATGTGGACTTTTACGTTTACATAATAACTAAATCGATCATTGATAAAACATCAATAAGTAACAATAATTTTTTTATAAAAAAATGATTTTCTTTTCGGGATTGAGAAATGTATTCATAAATTCAGTTAGTTAAGAAAAGAGTATTTTTACTAAAATTAAAAAAATTGTACACATTAACATTGTTCATAAATTTGTTACTTTTTAAACAGTAAAATGAAATCTCTAAGTATTATACACATCTAAATGGTACATCAATAACTAATTCATAAAATTTAAAGTCATATATAAAATAATATGTTAAATATTTTGTTTAACAATTAGAGTAGTTACCGTTTTTATACAAATTTCATTTTTTTCTTATTATAATGCATAACAGTTTTTTGTAAAATACCCATTGTATTTTATTATATTGACTTACACTTTACATAGATTTAATTTATATTTATTTGTATATAATACAATATTATAAAATGTACACCTATGTATACTCGTAAATATTTATATTTTTATATTGCACAAATGTCATGATTAAAATAAAAACATTATGTATCCTAGTAACTATGTACTTAAATTATCCATAAAAAATTTTTTTATAATTACCTAAAACGTGTAATTACTATTAACATAATATTTAAAAAATACATGTATAAAAAGTTTATTTTAACTAGTTTTATGTATACGTTTAGTTGCTAACAGAAGTTATCTGTCTCAATAATATTTACTAACTTGATTAAATTTTCAGTTTTATAATGCCTTTTCAAACATTAGCATTCTTTGTAAGTTTTTTTTTTTATCTATTATATGCAAAAATATCTTATTTTTTTTGTGAATTTCCAAATGAATCTTAGTTTTGACATTCGTTTTTTAAATTTATGAAATTAATTTTATGACCAATAGTATTATATAAATGTCTAATACACATATTTCAAGCTAGAAAATAAAAATATTAAAGAATATGGTGATCTTAGTTTATCTAGGACTTATTTCATATTTTTTGGAGAAAATAATTATTTTTTAAGATATTGTAAAAATATGAACTAAATATCAACATTTTTGTTACAGTTAAAACTGCCAAATGATTACCCGTTTTAAATACACGAAACTGTCCATCACAACTTAACAAAAAAGCTCATCATCAATTAGTAACACTATACTATTACTATATGATAACCTTTATTTTAATTACTATTATGCGTAAAAAATTAATGCTACATTTTTTTGTCCAAAATAATTTATGATGGTAAATAATAATTATCTACAGTTATTTTAATATTATAAAATTTGCATATGTGCAATATAACACAACTTAATGACTTCGGTTATGTTATTTAACTAATAGATATTAATCATAATTTTACTTCTATAAAAAGGATTTTTTGGAGTACTAATGACTAATATTGCTGAAACTATACATGTGGATTTAACAAAAAGTTGTACTGATATCTTTCCAACTATTTATTACCTTATATATGCATTATATAATAGCTATGGAATGATTCAAATGTTTTGAAACGACTGTGAGTTAAAACGATCCAACTGTCAAAATAATTCAAGTATGAATTTTAAATTGTTCATAAACTTATAAATTTATGCAGAAAATATACTACCAAATAGGCTCAAATTCAACATTTAAATTTAATTTTTATTATATTCAACTGAAGGAAAAATATTAGATAGAGGAGTTATTAGTAATAGTACTTACTTTAGGAAAATATACAATTTTTTTTAAATGATGTGAAGAAATGATTTTTTAATTATAGATTAACTCACCTCCTGCTAATTTTATCCCGAAGAGAAATTAAAATAAGATGATATGAAAAGATACGTGATTATTTTGCAAAAAATTATTTTGGTTGGAATTAACCTCATGGAGGTGTTATAAAATAAAATTTTTTTTAATTACTTGTTATAAAAATTTAATTATGTTTAAATCCTTTTTATTTGATAAATTGGTTTACTGTTGTCTACTTCGTTATGCAATTGAAAGTTGATTTATGTCAAAATATACAAGCATGAAATTAAATAACAATAGGGAACTCTGTTTGGATTAACTATGTTGGCCATTCATTTAATATTTTTCTTTATAAAAAAATCTTAAAACTCTGTAAATTTTATTTATATTCTTTACTAAATAAACAAACACGATCTTAATAATCCCACAACTTATATAAATTATTTTTACTTACATTTAATTCTGTTATTATTTAAAATTAAAAAATAGCCATTTTTTAGCTATTTTGTAACGAAAAATTTTGATGGACCGGTTACAATTTTAGGATAAGTACTTATTGAGTTACAAGCATTTTAATACAGCAGTACGAGTTTTACTCACTCTCATTACATGGTGAGAAACTTAATATAGACAACCATATAGAGTTTCTCGTCATGTATATAACTTCCACTTTTATTTAATCCTTTCAGTTTTTATACTAAACTTTTACTTTCATCTGACTACTCGCCCCTTAAATTTCTTTATTTATACATAACAAGTGAACATTTTTTATTAGTGTACGACTGCTCTAATACTTTGTTAGTTGTGAAGTTTTTAGCAGAAAATATTACTTTTAAGTTCACTAATGAATAAAAAAAAACAAAAGAAAATGCCACAAATTTTACAAAATAAAAATCATAAAATATTTGTAAAATACGAGATATGGCTGCTAAATGACTGGACTGATGTTATACAACTTTGTATGCGTCTGCTATCGCAATAGAAAATGTACATCCCCTTGGCGATCCCTATACTGTTTCATAATACTTTTTTATTGTTGAAAACAGTGCTAGAAGTCCACTTCCGTTAGCTGGTTAAGAACTTCTGACGCTATTGCTTTAACCGCTTCCACAATTTAAAATCTTGTCTTCTTTAGCACCGATTTGACTCTTGGAAATAAAAATAGTCTCAGAGGCAAGGTGGATATTCCGACAATGTGAGCCATATTCTGCAAAGAACGCTTACACGGACAAAGATATTCTTGCATCGTCTTGGTTAAACATTTAAGACTTGGTCTTTCATAAATTAAGTCTTTGTCTTCTCACATGTTCACTAAGGGTCGTCAGAACCTCAATATAAAAATATTGATTCACCGTTTGACTCTCGGGGATCAAGTGAATGCAGATAATACCATAAATGTCAAAAAAGATCAGTCCCGTTATTTAAAAGCTACCACCTAGTATATGAAAAATTCATGATGTTTACAACATTTAAAAAGGCTATAAACGTATTATTACTAAAATAACATGTCATGAACTTTCTTTTTACCTATTATATTACAAAGATTCTAAATAAAATCAGAAAAAAAAAATATTCAAAAAATAATAACTAAAATGCGAAAATGCGAATATTGCTTTGTTTACAATAAAATGTCCTGAAAATAAAACCAAATATATCTCCTAATCGTTGTTCAAAGTCATAATGTCATCTCTATTGACGCAATTTCAATTGAATTTTTGGAGGGATTTATTATGTGATATTTTTCTTCATCTTAAATATTTTTTATAAAAACATTAGAATGCCCGTTACTTTAAAAATCTTAACATTTGAGGAACGCCGGCCGAAAATTTGTGACTCTATTTTTAAAGATAAATTTTAATATATAGGTGATGTGACAGATCATGTCATGTGGAGATTTAGCATACGAGTAGCCGACCCCAAGTATAAGGTATAAAAACAATGGTGAAAGACGTTAATTTAAAGACATTATTTAAAGATGAATTTTACAAATTCTAAATTTTAAAAATTTCCCAAAAACCTAAAACCTTAAAATATTTATTATATATAATGAAATACTAAAATTCAAAATAGTTTTTAAAACAGCATAAATATTAAATTTTAACTGAAGACAACAATAGAAAATGTTTGTTTATTTATGAATAAATTGACCATTTTTTTCATTTCCTTTATAGTTTACATTAAATCATATCAAAACATACACGGCAAGGATTATAACAAAAGTTTGTTACTCAAATTGTTAGTAGTATTTAAATTTAATACCTTATTATTTAAAAAATGATGTAAATTATGAAAACTCGTTAAATTTAATTTTTGTTTGATATAAGAGTAAGGTAATTTGTTTAAATAAATTCTTTGTGCAAAGGCATAGTTAGGGTTTTGTTCTGGGGAGGATATATATGAAAAAAATTTTAATTACCATGTTCAAAAATAAAGAAAATAAATTGTATCTTTACCATAGAATAATTTTATTTTTGAGGGATTTATGTCCACCACCCACCTTTATTTTGTCTTTTTCTATAATATTACATTAAAACAGTTAAAAAAAAAAATTAACTTAATAAAATATTGTTGGGGATAAATTTTATTATTTTTTTTTATGCACATAGTAAAGAATTAAATATTCTTTAAAGAATATGAAGTAGTCATTACTAAATAGCAATGACTACGACAAATGTCATAAAGATAAAACTATAAATATTAAAACGACCTCGTAATTAAGTACTTATATTTTCTTAAACAAAATTAACTACACTAGAGTGAAGCATGTAATTACCAAAAAATAGATAGAGTAAGAAAATGAGTATAAAAGGAACTGAATCTTAAGCATTGTAGTAAATATTCGTTTTGTTACTACTCGAGACCCGTTAGTCAAAAATATTTATTTACTATATTCAATTTTTGAAATTCATAATGTCATCTCTAACATTATTTTTCTTAGTGGGTAAGTGTTTATTGTTAAATATGTTTTAAAATTAAATTATACGAATTGGATGATTAAACAATGTTATTTGCGTTAAGCAAATTCAACTAACGTTTAATTGTAAATGCTACGCTATTTAAAATTGATATCTTAATCTTTTATCATTAATATAATAAAATAAAAATGTTGAAAGTTGGTTGCATTCTGCACAATGCCATTCATTCCACTTAAAGATTAATCATTAGTTTTTCATTTGTAAAAGGTTTGTCTGCAATTTCAATGAGTGGCTTTACTGCTGCTGCACCAATGAATCCAAATAATTGTCCAGATATATGTCCAGCCATTTTTAAACCTGTATGTGCCTTTGATGCCTGTACAAAAGTATATAAAACATTTGGAAATGAATGTGAATTAAAGCGATCGAACTGTCAAAATAATTCAAGTAAGAACTTAAAATCATACATAAATGAGTAAACATTATAAAACGATTTTTTAAAATTAACAGCACCTCTAAACTTGTTTTTTGACGAGATTAGTGACTCCGAATTGATTGACCTCTCTGTATTAATTTTTACCCCCAAGTTTATTTTAGTTAACGAATTTAAAATGTTTATGGCGTATCGTTTGAACCTTTTTTAACATTTATCATACTCGATCAAATATTTAAATGATTTTTAAAACTACGTAAGATACAATAAAAAAATAAATAAAATTTTGATAATTCCTCTTGTAGTACAAAAATCGATCACAAATAATCAAATTTTTGAATTATTTCTTAGAGTTTAGTCAACTTTATTTTGTGATTATTTAAACATATAAACTAAATAATAACTATACTTGACTGTTATACAAACAAATAAAGATAACATAATAGCATTATTCAAATTGTAGAATCCTGATTTTTTTTAATATTTTTTTTTTTTAGATTTTACCATTGTTTATTATGGACAATGTGTCTAGTTTTACACGTTTATAAAACTAAATATTTTACGAAGAATAATAGTAACAATTCAAAGAAAATTCGAAATTGTATTTTTATTAAGTTGTTTATTTATATTTATTTTATTTTATAAATATACAATGTATTTTAAAGTTTTGGATGTATTTTAAAAATTGAATAAACAAAACATAATAACTAATATATATTTTGTTGTTATTTAATACAAATATTATACTTTTATTTACACTGAAAAGTTATTAGTTGTCCTTTTTGCTTTGCATCTCCTTATTAGATCTAATTTATGATTGACGAATAATTATCATATTNTCCTTTTTGCTTTGCATCTCCTTATTAGATCTAATTTATGATTGACGAATAATTATCATATTTTATTTATATTTTTACTAGATAATATCAGGTATAAAGGTAATTTTTACTTAGCGTCAGAATAAGTTGTTCTGTAGAGTTATATCAGAGAAGCCAATAAAATCGACTCGTTTATGACTCAAACAAGTATAATCTATATACCAATTAGCTTGAAACTGCAAAAATAGCAATCGAATTAGAGAAGTGTAATTTCTAAATAGACGAAATTAATGGGAAATAAATTATGTATATTTACGTTTTAACATATTAAACACTTTGATAATTTTTATAAAAATTATGTTTACAACTAAGTAATTAAATTGATAAGTTGAAATTATTCATGAAAAATAAATGAAACTCTAATATAACACTGACCTTTTTATAGTATTTGTGGAAGTTAATCAACATTTTTCTTATCGAAAAACAATTAAAACATAATGTTTTGCTTTACAATAGATTTTTCAAATAATTTTGTTATGTGTGACTCCTTTTAATCTTAATTATAAGTGTACCCCTTCCCTAGAAAAATTTAAATCACGCTACTAAATTTAATAATTATACCGACAACTAAAGTTATTTACTATTGGTATAATATTAGTATTTACTATTAAGTATAATTATGAAGTTTTAGATACTATAGTAAGCAACGAGAGAAAAAATATTATAAACTTTTAAATATTGAATAATATTATATTTTTTAAACATTTATCCAATTATAATTTAGCCCCGTGGCACACAGGATGAATAGTTAAAAATGTTGCATGCGTATTGAATACATAGATAGTCCATTGGAAATTCCGACCGACTTGTTTTGCAATCTCAAATTAATTATTACACCTTGACATTAACACTGCTGTATGTTAAAAAAGTAATCTAGTTATGTAATTTAATTTTTAAACGTAAAATACTATCACACTGCTTTATAAAAAATAATAAATCTTTGATATTTATAATATTGTTCTTTGAACATAATTTAATGTAATAAAAGTTTATGGTAATGTAACGTTTTCTAGATATTAAGAAATAATTTATAAATAATAACAACTTTATAAATTTAAACGATTAATAAAATAAAAGTTTATTTTATTTGCATCGCTAAAAATTGACACTAAACCTTTTATAGTCAAGGTTACCATTTATAACATAATCATTATTTCTACAAAAAACTAATTATTTATAAATACATATTATTTTTTGAATTTAGAATATTACATCAATGAATAAGTCGATTAACATGGAATATACATCAAACCTACAGCCGGGAAAACCCTTATTTTCTTGTGAGCAATGGGTTGCCTTGAGGACTGGTAGTTATTACAAAGGAGAATGGAATGAGAAAACTATGCATGGATTAGGAAAATATCATATGCCCGAAGGTAAAGTTGTATTGAAAATATTTGCTAATTAAACTACTTAAGAAAATTGTATTTATTTTAGGGGCCATTTATGTAGGAAAATTCGAAAACGGTTTCTTTCACGGACCTGGAACAATATACTACCCGATAGGATCTAAAATCAAAGGAATCTGGAATAAAGGTCAATGTCAAACACGTACTTATATATTTCAAGACGGTCTTAAGTTCAAATTAAAAGATTGGAAGTACTGTAAAATGACTGATAGGAGGTATTTTATAAAATAAAAACTACAATATGAGAAAAAGCTATTAATGGCTTTCTATCCAAGTTGAAATCTTAACTAAAATTACAAATTTGAAACAAGAGATCTAACAAACCTATGTTAATTTTTAATAGATTTTATTTACTCATTTAATTTTATGAAATTAAATTCAATAAAATACATGATATTAAACATCGTTGTAACAAAATAAACTATAATCACGAAATCTCTTAGAACTTAAGTAGATTGATTAATACTGGTATTAATTACTATTTGATTTCCATATATATATATAAACTAACATATGCAATATAATTTTTTTTTTCAAAAATTTTCTATAATTAAATAAAATTTAATTAAGTTCCTATTTATTTCTACTTTTAAATATTAACATAGTGATCTTATTGATTACACTTCGATGTAAATATGTATAAATTAATTAGAATTTTCTCTCCAAACTTCATAACTTGAAAGCAAACTTAAATATCTTTAATTTACTTATTTGTAAAAGAAAAATTGGTACAAAAAATAATTATATAGAATTAGTTATTTTTACATAGAATTAGTAAAAATATTTTTAATTTTTCGAACTACTTTTATTTAGAATTATTTCGAGTAGTATAGACATTTACTAAGTAAATAAGGATAAAAAAAAAATACTTGCAAATTGAGTACTGAGTAAAACCCGGTAAAAAAAGTATTAAAAACCTAAAACCGGGTAAAAGTCGAGTAAAAAAAATCCATACAAACCGAGCACTAAGTAAGAGCCAAAGAGTCAAATTTTTAGTATTAATAAAATAAAAATATCAAAATTAAATTTCTAATGTTTCTTCTTCATTTTAAGTTAAAACCACAATTTAGGCGTAGGTTGGAAGGTTGAATCTATCATATTTAGATTTTTCTCTCCAAAAAATCATGTGCATTTTTTAAATATACTTTTTTAAGATCAGAAAAAATTACAATTGGCTTCCTGAATGTTTTTTCACTCTATATATGAATAAAAATTTCCATTATAAAATAGTTGTTAAGACAAATTCGAAAAAAATATTTTACTGAAATCGTTAAAAAATTAATTAAAATAATAAAAAAAATAATGTATAATGTATTTTATGATTAAAATATACTTATTGAATCTCATCAACATATACTGAATTAAATAACATTTTTATTTTATAATCATATAAAGGCATACAGAATGATCGGCTTTTCATAAATCACTCGATTACGCAAAGTAAATGAAATATTGGAAAAATAAATTTTGATTTCTTTTAGCTGCACATAATTCTTAGTTTATCAGCTAATAATTATTTTTTAGATTCATCTCTTATAACATAAAGAGGCATCAATTTTATTTTTTAAAATAGCAACATACATATTTAATTAACTTATAAAATAAGAAATAATCTTATAGAAATAGATAGGTCGATAACAACTTTTGGACGAGTATTTCAGAAGTTATTAACATTATAAAGTTATGACTGAAGGTGAGAAATAGGTGCTGCAATTTTTATCATTAGTCATTTCCCAGCCATACTCTTAGGTATTTTTATACCTAGGTATAAAAATATCTAGAATAACATCCAAAGTACTGGTACTAAAGTTGTTTTCGACCAGTCATTTTTTCAATTAGATAATTTTCTATTTTATGAGTTAATTAAATGTGTATGTTATCATTTAAAAAAATAAAATTGACATCCATATACGTTATAAGGGATGATTGTAAAAAGTAATTATTAACTGATAAATCAAGAATTATATGTAACTAAAAGAAATAAAAAATTATTTTTCAAATATTGTATTTATTTTGCGAGTAATGATACGGTTTATAGAATATTCAAATAAAAATGTTTAAATAATATCAAAATCATCCAACATTTTTCCATAGCTTCGAATNATATCGAAATCATCTAACATTTTTCCATAGCTTCGAATTAAAGCTAAAAACACTATTTACAGAATGGATATAAAACACATTGAGTTGTTTAAATATATCATATATGTTTATTTTGTCCTTTAAAATTGCACTAAGCTAAAACAGAAAAAAGGAAAGTTTTGGTGTTCACATTGAATGTTAAATCGTAAATCCATTATAAATTCATTTGAGTTGATATATTTACTCTAGATTCTTTCTTTATATTGAAATTTAATGATATCTATATATATTTTCTTTTGTATGTTCGTTTTACATTTATGTCATATTTTTAGGTACGTATTAGAGCATAAACATGGTTTGCAGCCAGCTGCACGTAGCCAAATCTCTAACCGTGAAATTGCGACTGAGACTCCTAAAGGTTTTTACGACGCTGGTGATGGATTTTATGATCCTCGTACAAATACCGTACATGATTATGAAACCAACGAAATGATCAGGTATGAATAATTCTCAGTGTTTGCAGGAAGATCTTTCTGTTTAGTCCTTGGAAATTAAGCCTCATACATAAATGTATCTAATAGGTAACATTAGATAATCTTAAAATTAATTACTAGGTTAAAAAAAAATATATTGGCTACTACATGAAAGAAAAATTTTTAATAATTTTAGATAATTATACTATTATTATAGATCATTTAAACAATTTTTATCATTGTGTTCATTTATGTGTTATGAACTATGTTAAAAGAAAGTTTAGAATGTATTTATAATGTTTTTCTTATAAATAATTTTGCTCAAGTACGAGCACACTTATTCTATTTTAATTTCAATGCGATGCTGAGATTGTTATTGTCATAATGTGTTTTATTTAATTTCTGTTCATGAAAATTCTCAGCTCTCGCTGAACTTATTTTATTGATCTATGTGTCAAAACACCACGACCTTATTACCTATCATCGCCGAAAATTGAAAAAAAAAACTTTATTTTAGAAATCTAAAAAAATATTTCAAAATTATAGTACCGTAAAAATGGCATTTTCAAGCATTTTTTTCTGCATTTGAAAAATACGTATTTTAATGAAATTTTAATAAAGTATACTAGAAACCACACGCTTTATTTTGGTATACTTTTTATGAAAATCTAATTAAATATGTTGTCCAACAATTGTTCTATTATAAGAAATTGATCGTCAAAGTAATAAAAATTACAATTTTTACAACAATAATTTCTTTATTCTGAGATTTCTGACAAACCAAAACTTATACCAAAATTAAGCTATTTAAAAATGGCTAATTATGAAAAAATAAAAACTCTTTCCAATATTTTTGCTATGAGTTTTTGACTTTAAATCCAATTACGTTTTCCTGGAAAAATTACTTAGTGTGCTCCGATTTTCAAAAACTTTTTTTTCAACAAAAGTACTCGGCCACCAGACTTTAGAAAAAATATTGATGAGAGCGGTCAATTTTTGCCGCTCGCTCTCATGAGCGTTTAAAATTTCAACCTTTTTCGAGAAAAAAGCTGACGTCAGTGTTTTACGACTTTAGGTTTAAAATCATCAACACACCCGCCCAAAGAAGTTTCTGAGATATCATGAAAAATATTAATTTAATCCGTTCATTTTTTACCGTTCTACAAGATTTTTTTTATGTCCACACACATATTTCAAATGAGGTTATCATCTCGTTCTTCGCGCATATATAAATTTTCAGTAAGTAAGAAAACGGGTTTTTGTTGTTCTCTTTATTTGTAACAATTTACCTGTTTTCTTAGTTATTGACCATTCTGTATATGTTGACTCTGAAATTGTGGATAATAAATGTTCAAGTCAATTACTCTTTTTGGATTTACCTGATTTTATTAATTAAATTTTTAATATATTTTTGTTACACTGATTTTGATATGATACTTTTTCCTGCAAAACACTTATCGTGCCGAGTACAGCTGAGTATTCTTACCAGAATCAGTGGCCTTCTTATGAGGTCGGATTAAAAAGGCTTACGATCCGAAGGTGCATAAGTCTTGTAGGGCGCCAGGTTTCGGGCGGTAACCCATCTAGACGAAGCCTAGTATTATATAAACGTTTTTGTTGTGAACTACAATATTAAAATTAAATTTTTCTTGATAATTGTCCCTTCCATGAAAAATCGGCAGTCAAATTAATTTTTTTTAATTTTTATGAAAACTATTTATATATTATTTATTTCAAAATAACTATTTTTTATCACTTTCCAAACAAATAATTTTGATTGGTCGATAACAATTACTCATTGTGTTATGAACATTTTAATACTTTTAGTGAGTATGTAGTGAAAGTAGATGTAATTTATACTTAAATTTAAAAAAATTTTAAATAATTTTTTAGTTTTTTATTAAATAAATGAAAAAAATATTTTTGACATATTTTAAAGCTGTGAAAATGAAAAAAAAAGTACGCAAAATATTCACCGGAAAAAAGTTATTAAAGATGTCAAAACCTCATATATATAAAACGTTACATATATTTTTTTTAATGAAAATTTTTATTAAATGAATTTTGAACTATGTAAAAAATAATAATTGATAGAATCCAATATATTTATAATTATAATTATAATTATATAATACACCAATTAAAATATAAAAAAATGAGTTATTTATAAAAATGATCAAATTATTAATTTAAATTTTACTAAAAATATTTCACATTTTTAAAAAGCAAATCTTTTCTTAACCGTTCAACTTAATATGAAGTTATTCTTTAGTTAACGTTTCAATTTAATTTAGTCACAAATCATCATATAAATTATTTACATGATTAACTTAACTTTTAAAATTAACATGTCAACTTTTGCTAACATGGATAATAAAATCGAAAAAAAGCATTTATATTATCAGTTTTGTTCACCGTAAGTAATTAGATTTAAACTGCACAACAACGTTATATATTATAACAAAAAAAAATTGTTTCTATATAAAATAAAATGTTATAAAATTAAATATTTTAAAATAGAATAAAAAATTTTATTCTAAAGATATTCAACAGATTGAAATTTTATTAAATTATAATCAAATAAGGGTGCCAGAAGTTTAGCGTCTTGAGTTTTTGCTGATTTTACCTTTATTTTTTAAGAAGTCATTAAAAAAATATTAGCCTCTACGTTAGTATTTAAAATAATTTTAGTACCTCTTAGAATTTGACTGAATTTATGCTTATGTTGATTCATTTTTAACTCAGAGATCAATTAAATTAAATTAGATAAAAACCAAATAATTATAAAACTAGTTAGTTATAGAGTATTTATCTATAAGAAATTAATCATTAAATGATTTTAGCTTAAAAACATTGAGATATTTAAATAATTTATCGACATACCTAATAAATAAAAAATTAATTACCACAAAATTATCTTTAGTTGAAATTAACAAATATAATGATAACCAATTAGAAAACCAAACCCAACCCCTAGGATAATTTGATATTTTTGTTTATTAATACAGTATATATATTTAAATGAATTTTAACGGAAACGCTTGTTCAGAAAAGATGAGTCTCTTGTATTCCTCCTCACTTTAAGCCTTGATTTTAGACCTAATACATTTTTCTGATATACCTTTAATATTAAAATTGATTTGTAATGCATTTTATATATAGCATTTAAAATAATTAAAAACCCATATATAGGTACTTGAGATTACTCAGAAAAATATAAAAGATAAAGGTTTTCCTGGGATAACTTTTCTGAATTGTTTTTTTTAATGACTAAATATTATTATTATCAATTGTTAAAGTCTATTTTTTTAAATCAATTAACTTTTTCATTCAGTTTAATCATAAAATTATTTGATAATTTTTTTAAGGGTGCCTTCCGATGCTGGAGCTAAGTGGATAATGGAAAACTGTTCTAAAGGTGGTGAGGTACAAATACCTTTTCGTCCATATTTCAATGAAAATCGTTTGAGCAATACCGTAATAAATATTAACGACACAACAGCTAAAACAATGTTTGTTGATTCAGTTATAGATGAATTTGAACAAACACAAAGTGAAGGTAGTTTAGTCACTGACACTGTATCGGGCGTTTTGTCNCAATAGAAACCCGTTTTTAGTATTTTTAGTATTTAAAATAATTAAAAACCCATATTTAGGTACTTGAGATTACTCAGGAAAAATATAAAAGAATAAGGTTTTCCTGGGATAACATTTCTGAATTGTTTTTTTTTATGACAAAATACTATTATTATCAATTATTATAGTCTATTTTTTTAAATTAATTAACTTTCTCATTCAGTTAAATCATAAAATTATTTGATAATTTTTTAAGGGTGCCTTCCGATGCTGGAGCTAAGTGGATAATGGAAAACTGTTCTAAAGGTGGTGAGGTACAAATACCTTTTCGTCCATATTTCAATGAAAATCGTTTGAGCAATACCGTAATAAATATTAACGACACAACAGCTAAAACAATGTTTGTTGATTCAGTTATAGATGAATTTGAACAAACACAAAGTGAAGGTAGTTTAGTCACTGACACTGTATCGGGCGTTTTGTCAGATTGTATTATCAACAATCAAAGGTATACATNTGATTGTATTATCAATAATCAAAGGTATACATTTTTTCTATCAAAATTAATAATCGAATCTTAAGACAATACAAAATGTTAATATAAATAAAAGAGTTTCACTTCAATAATTATTACAATTTCAATTCAATAAGTTTAACTGATTATAGAATTACTTAATTTATTAAAAATGTAATATCAAAACCCACCACGGTTCACTAACACATAATATAAATAATTATACATTTCAATAAAGTATAATTTAAACTATAGTTTGTTCGATACAAATGACTGTTCAGACGACTGTGGTTTATTTTCGAAAATGAACATATCAACAGATGCACATCAACAACTGAAATATTGCCAGAAAATTATGAACTTAAAAAAAGCCAAGAACGATCCAAGTCATTTACAGTTTGAAAACATTAGTCATAGTGACAATAGAAATTGTCAACAGAAAAACCAGAATAATGAAGACGAACCTGGGTTTTGGTAATTAAGTTATTCATTGGGCATTCCATAGTAAATTTCCTGTGTAAACTTTAATAAAATTTATCTTACTTCAATAAAAGATATTCTACGGGTAACCAATTTATGAAATTTTTTATTTTCAATACACCGACAAGAAACCGTTGAGTTATTTCAATGTTGATAGTATTTAATCATAAAAAACCGGTTTACTACAAAACAACATTTCCTATAAATAACATTTATGTACCTATATTAATTATATTAACAGCAATTGAACCATCAGTTAACTGCGAAACACAGACATGTATTCTAATACAGCAGTTTTGTTTATTAGTAAGTATCTATACTCTGTTTTAAATGTTTACTTTTATAAATGTACAATTTACTATGCAATTTTTACTAATAAAGTAAAAATAAAGTTTGAATAATTACTTTTAATAGTTTAAGAATGTGTTGATTTATTTAAATACAAACGGTAAAATCATATATTATATAATATTATTGTAATAATACGATATTTTATGTTGTTAAATATTTTTTACTTATATTATTCAAGTAACAATCTTAAAGCCTAAAATAGTGTGTAACTTGAATTAGAAAAGTGTAACTAAGTCACGTAACGTGTCTTTTAGTTATAATAATAAAATTATTGTTTTTACAATTATTGTGAAAAATAATTCTTAAATTTTACGATTTTACCTTATGTAATTAAGTAAGCAACGCATTATCTAATTATTGAACGTAACATTATTTTATTCTTTTGGATACAGTACTTTATTAAATCTATATCTGCAATTACATATATGTAATATACAATTATCATTTAAGTATTTATTTTTGAATAATCATAATTAAAATACTGGTGTATAACTCACTTTAGCGAAAATGAATATTAAGATTCAATTAAGAATACTATCGATAACTTTCTACGTATAAATTATCCACGAAATAATATCAATAACCGTTTTTATTCTTTATAGTCCATAACCTTAATTTGTTTAATTTAATTTTTTCTATTTCTTGTTTATTTTTTGATAAATTAATGTGTAGTACTTAATTATTTTAGCTTGCATGAATATAATATACATTTATTAAAATTAAATTGAATTTTTATAAGCTATTAATTTTATTTTTTTATATAGCTTTCAGTATTTTTGCTTTAGCTGCATGTGAGAGATTTCTCACAGACTCGATAATATTTCCCGACTATATACGAAAATTGTCTTTCGAAAATGAAAATTATCCAATTAAGCCAAATAGGCCAAATAGACAAATAGCAAATCAACGTCCTAACTCAAGACCTCAAAATAGCAACCAACAAGGATTCGGTTCTAGACCGAATAATCAATGGCCTAGTAGCGGTAGCAACCAACAAGGATTCGGTTCTAGACCGAATAATCAATGGCCTAGTAGTGGTAGCAGTCAACAAGGATTCGGTTCTAGACCAAATAGTAATAATCCAAACAACAACTATGATGAGTTTTCTGGGTTAGAAAATAATAATAATAATGGTAACCAATTTTCTGGAAATCAAAATTTGAATAATGCACAAGGTAGTACTTCAAATGGTCAAGCATTCGATAACAATAGTAATAGTAATAATGGACAAGATACTTCATCAAATAACAACGGAAATCAACAGACAAATAACCAAGCTAGTTCAGCCCTTCATAACTCATGTGAAATACGTTGCAAAACACAAGTAATTTATCAATATAACCCTGTTTGTGGAACTAATGCTCGAACATATCAAAACTCAAGGGTTTTAGATTGTATGAGAGAATGTGGAGTTCGTAAGTGCAATATTTAATAAATTAATTGTTTAATAACTTAAATCGTGTATTTATTGAAATTAAATTGGTATATTATTACGTCTGGCCAGAATGAAATGGTTCTAGTGAAATTATTTTGAAGAAAACATTTGTTTTATAAATATTTAAAAAAATGAACCACGTATATTTTAAGTCCTCAGTAAAGTTGTTACACTGATATATAACGAATAAATTAAATTTAAATTAAATGTTTTATATGACTGTATGATAATTTTGTTTTTAAAATGGTCTACTCAAAATGATCGATTTTGCGTTATAACCTTTTCATTCTCAGGCATTAGAGTAAATAGTGTTAATGAGTTGTTTTATAGTTTTTCGTTTTGTATTTTTTTAATTGTTTTATTTTTTTTTTGTTCTGACGCAAAAACAATTAAAATATAAGTCCCACTGGTCACATTTAAGTTAGTAAAATACTTTAAATATTTTACAAAACAACTACTACGAAAACTTAAAATCTTATACTAACAATTGGATTAAATTTATAGTTACACCTAATCAAATGAAATTTAGAATCCTAACATTCCATACAAGGAAAATCCTAAATTATAAATAATTTATTAATCTAATTTTATTAATATAAATTTTTTTTAATTAAAATATTAAGTAAAAGTAGATATAAGTTTAGTAAAATAGCATAATAAAAAAATGTTTTATAATATAAAATGAACTAAAACTTTTTGATAAATTCTTAACAAAATTAATTTAATACCTTTAAAAAACAAATAGATAAATAAAATTGAGAATTTTTCAAATTAAACATAATAAATAATATAATAATTATTTAATTATTTCCAAAATTCATAAATAATTACTATGTCTAGTTAATTATGCTTTATCAATAAATAATTTTAATGAATTTATTTTTTTAATTAAAAATACGTCTTTATATTATGACTAAAATATAATTAATATCATTTATTTATTTTACAGAGACCGAGTTAGACTATATTGGCAGATGTGTCACATCAACCGATCGTATTCTTCCTGCTTGCTGCTAAGTAGTTTTAATGGACAACTGGTCGATGATTTGATATTTTAATCTTTAAAAATATATTTGTAAATCATACGATGTAATAGTAGAAATTGGTTTTTGTATTACATTGTATTTAATACATTGTATTATTGAATAAATTTACATTACACTAAGTTGTAGTATCAATATTTTTTATAAATTTTATGGGAGAAGTTGAATTTTTATAAAATTATCGAATGATTTTTTAATAGCCATAATTTATATAAAATTTTTTAAATTAATTAGATTTTTAGTCTATGAACTTTTTGTAATTTATAAGTACTTAAAATAATATTCATGATTAAATCTTTATTTTTTTTTTATTTACAAGACATAATACATGAATATAAATAGTTAAAATAAATCTTATCTTTTCAGTCAATTAATAGTCATTTGTTGTAAAAATATATTAAAGTTTTAGACTCTGACATCATATAGAATATGCTTCAATTACTTTTATTTTGTATATACTCATGGATTTATTTGAGATCAAGGCCGGTTTAATAGATAAATCCATAAAAGATCAATCGTAATAGTTTTTCAGTATTTTTTAGTTAAATTAAAAATACCATTAAAAGTTGAAGCAAAATAAAATTTCATAAAAATAACATTTTTTTGTGACAAAATNGGATTTATTTGAGATCAAGGTCGGTTTAATAAGTTAGCCATAAAATATCAATCGTAATAGTTTTTCAGTATTTTTTAGTTAAATTAAAAATACCATTAAAAGTTGATACAAAATAAAATTTTTTTGTGATAAAATTATTATAAATTAACAGAGTGTATAAAATTTAATTGACAATTCTTATACTTTTGATTCAGTAATGATTTTTCTGAATTTTTTTTCGAACAAATTTTATGTTAGACTACGTTGAGAGCACTTTTTTTTAATATTTCTCTTAGATATATTAAAAAAATTATTTTTAATATTTCTAATAATAGCCATTATTTAGTACATTCCTTGTAGATAATTATTTCGATGGATTAATAATAATATTAGAACGAACATTTTAATACATAAAGTGACCTAAACGAAATTAGGAGACGTTAGAGAGATCTTAGCCCAGCATCTGTACTTATATGATGATAACATTATCAGTAAATATTAAAATAATAATTTTTTGTTTAAAAATTTTAACTTTGAGAACTTTGAAAAACTTATTATTTCATTTCACTCACTTCCGTTTTTAATATTTTGAATGTTAACAATAAAATGATAATAATATTGTTATTAAATAGTGTACACTTAATAACTGGGTCAAATGATTATTGTTGTTTCTTATAACTAATGCATAAAAACTATAAGTTAACGAGCTATTAAGGTGCACATTATTCCCCTTCCCTAATAAAAATAATAAAATAATCTAAATACACAATTTAAACGATGAAACTTAAAATAGGCTAAAAAGTATATTATGAATAAAATGAATATATTATACGAATCATTTGTTTTACTGAATACAAATGTATTTTTTTAGAGTGAAAATGAAATTTTGTTTACTTTAAATATTCATGAAATATTATTTTACTATGCTTCTTTCATCACAGAATCAATTCTCACATTGATGATTTAATTTTTTTAAATATTATAGTCACTCTTATGGTTAATTTTTAGTATCAGTATAACGATTAACGTTTACTTTAATGGGTGACATGCTTTTTCGTCGACTTTTTCTTAAGAAAAAAGTATCATATAATATTAAAATTTTCTCAAAAAACTATAAAACCTAAGAAAAGTAATACCAGAAAGGATTTATGCAGTAATATTAGCGATAGATAGACCTGTTAATTATGCACTAAAGAATATTTAAGAAAAAATACACATATAAAAAACTTTTTTTCCAGATTACACAATGTTTCTATATCCAACGTTATTCTTTTAACGCTAGTAACTCAATTTCTCTTAAAATAGTACGTTTCTTGAAATTTTTTTTATTTTGTAAGTTACAGATATTTAACTGTTATGAAATAATATGTAAAAGTACATCTCTTATATCTTATAGGATATCAACTTTATTTTTTTTAGTGGTAACATACGTATAAAACTAGCTTATAAAATAGAGAATGATCTAATTAAGAAAACGACAATTGATAGCGACTATCGGAGCAGTGCTACGGAAGATATTCACATTTTTGTACTTAGATGGGAGTGGTGTGGTCAAGAATTCACACCTCTAGAATAAGACTGTCACAACTTAAAATTTATAGTTTTGAGAAAAGGCGATTTAAAGTTTGTAACTAAAATAATTTACCGAGTTTTTTTAACCTTGAGTTTGAAACTTACAAACATTAATACTCACAAACATACTATACCATATGACTTTTTCGAACATTATGAAGTATTCAGTTAAACCCTAAAAGTTAGTCTTATGGCCTTTTACAATTTTATAATTGCATGAAGACTGCAATATATTAAGATATGGATTTATTGTATACATAAATTGATTTTAAGATAGCCATATACTAAAATATGACAGTGTTGAATTTTGACTTCAGTAATTAAATGGATAAATTTAAAAATGTATTTAGCCATAAAGTAAATATGACTCTGTTACTTTGAAAACTAGCTAAAAATTTAATAATTCTATACTGACACGTCTTCTTAGTGACGTATAAATAAAAAATATTGAATGTTGCGTTCTTCTATTGTATAGAGATGATTTTTTATTACCCATCATAATTCAAAATTGATAAATTTTGAGTTATGGAAATCTCGTTCTAGAGGTCCAAAATGACTAATGATAAACATTGCAGCATGCGAGTTTCACCTGCAGTCTATATTTTAAAATGTTAATAACTTCTAAAGTGTTGGCCCTAAAGTTGTCATTAATTTTCTTAAGTAGATCATTTTTTATATTATAAGGTAGTTTAATATATATGCTGTCATTTAAAAAAATATGTTGTAACCTCTATAAGATTTAAGGAATGGACCTAACAATTATTTTATAGCAAATAAATGNAGTTGTAAACCCTATAAGATTTAAGGAATGGACCTAGTAGTTATTTTATAGCAAATAAATGGAAATACATATAGGATAAACATAATTCAAAGAAAAAATTTTTAAATTAACTTATTATTTTAAGAGAAGTTGAAAAGCTATCATTGAAAGACTTAAACTTTTTTTAATAATATATATGTGCATTGTGTAACTTGGATTGATGATCAATATTATTTTTAAAAAATAACTTGGGCAAGTTTTTTTTTTTTAAATCCGTTATTTAAAAAAAACATTACTATTTCGTATATCGATAATCACTACCGTAGTTAAATTAGTATAAGCCGGTAGCACTTATCAATTTAAGGTACGAAAAGATCTCGTTTTTTAAAACTATGTATTCTTTTTTTTCTGGTCGACCTTAAAATTTAAATGGTTGAAACTCGTTAAAAATCAAATAATATTAAAAAAAAAATTTAACATTATTTTTTTCAATTGAATAAATCTGATATAAAAAGAATTAATGTTGCTATTTGAAATCAAAAATTAATAAAATTTTAGAGTAAAAGGAATGATAGCAGAAAGTTAATTTCGTATAAACAGCTCAGTGTTCGTTATAAGAAAATAAAATAATGCTTTTTAACAATAATGATTGACACTAATAATTTCAAAGATATTTCGTAAGCCGTAGTTATCATTCTAATTATTATAAAATTTATAACGTAACACTTTAAAAAAAAAAATAATTTAGGAAAATACCGCACATTTATTAAAGGTAGTGATGCATACTTATCAATCTTGATTTATATCAAATAAATCACAGTTTCACATTTTATAAAAAAAATTTGGAAATTCTTTAAAAACTATAGTATATGTAAAATTTTATAAGAATAATTTGTAATTTTTCTATATTCCGGATTAAACGCTCCAAGTAATTTTTAAGACTCAAAAGATGGACTGATCAAGAGGATACTATGTATTTTATTCTTTAAAAGTTCCTACAATGCTCTATCTCATCAAATAAATCTATTTGAAACAGTTTGTAATTTTTCTAAATTTAAAAGCCCAGTGGACACAATTGTGGCGTGGCATAGTTGAGACAAGTATAAATGATACCTGACTTGAAAAATGATCAATTATAATAATTTTTAAGTTCGTCCTTTATACTTTATAAGACTGTCAGCATTATTTTTTTAAATGGCAACGTACATATTTAACTAGCTTATATAATAAAAAAATGATCTAATTAAAATAATGACTGGTCGATAATTACTTTTGATACATTATTTCGGAAGTTATAACTATTCTAAATAAAAGAGTAATAGTAAATTATGGGTTATATTATTTTTATCACTAATTTGTCGCGGTATTGAAATAATACCTTTTTATATAATAATAAAAAATTTATCATTCATTATTTTATAGGCTAGTTAATATATATGTGACCATTAAACAATTCAGCACACTGCGCCCCTCCTGTGGTTGGTTTCAAGGAGATAGGAGTTCTTGTTGCTTTTGGAATAATTCAATAATTCCTTCTAAAAACTAAACACTACAGATGTACATCGAAGCGTTTTTTATGATAGTGATTTTATCACTGTCAGATGTCATATATACTTGTTCTAACTATGCTACGTCTCCACTGTGCTGAGTTGGGATTTCTTAACCTATAATTGTATTGAATATGATTAAAAAAATAATTTGAAACTAAAATTAATTGTTGGCTTGAATTTATTATACTCAATAACAATTCATAATGAAAATATTAAGTTGTTGACGGTGTTTTGTAGAAACTATTAAATTAGATTATACTATTAAATTGTAGAATTCAACGTATCTTGTATATTATAATATAACTCATCCTGATTATTATTTATCGAATTTATTTATACAGATAATTATTTTTCAATAAAGTTTGATTATTCAACTTTATCTTTACAAGACGCTTTATTATTAAAAACTAGTTTATTAAATGAATGATATTCAAAGGGAAAAAAATTGTTCGTCCTCTTCTACCTATACATTTAGCTATTATAGTAATTATTATGTTGGGCATAGTTGTGGATGCGATTTCGTTTAGTTTGCAGGACTGGCGCGGCGTTCGGTCGTTTTAACCACTTCAATGACTATTTGAGTTTACATTCAGTTTATTATTTTATACTTGTCTATGATTCGGCTGCGCTTCAATATTCATTTTCTCTAAATTTTATATTTTTCTCTGGTGTGTGCTATAGTCATATTGCAGTCCTATTTGCCCTACAGTAAATATTTGATGTGTGTGTAGCTCTGTTATTCTGCAAATCGTATACAGTTTTCTCCATTTTGATTTTCGGCATCGGGCCATTCGCCGTAGTCATCAGCTTTGTCATTTAGTTTTGCACGACGTTTTTCAATCTTCCTGTTCATCCATTTATCCTACGCCTCATTCGACTCCAACTTCAAGCTATCCACAAGCTATACGGATAAGTATTCTTTTGACGTTTTCTTCTTGTTGTTTGTTTTATTTTACCCAATTAATTGAATTGTTTGTGTCATATTGTAATGTAGTAATAAATGGCTCCCGTTCACATTATTTATACTGTGATAACTTTGATGTTCATTATATTAGATCTTTATAAGTTTATAATGAAACGTGCCTTATATATATTATAGTTTATTCTTTATTCAAAAAATTGTATACATTGTCAAAGTCATATTCCTAAAACAAGTCAAACCATCTGGCCACTTGAGGGTTTATAGTTTTATGAGTATTTAAATTTACTAAAGCTTGACAATCCGTAAGCATAACAAACTTAATTTTAAGTAACAAGGAACGCAAGCGTCCAATCGACCAGACTATAGCTAATAGCTCTAATTTGATAGCATGATAATGTTTTTCAGCTTCAGTTAGTCTTTTACTTACACAAAATACTAATTGCAAAGGATCCCCTGTATGGTCTCGTTGTAAAAGCATACTAGCTATTCCAATCCCACTTGCATCCGTATGCAATTCAGTAGAGTATGCCTCTGGATTGAATAATTTAAGAACCAGTTTACTAACTAACTTGCATCACAAAGTTTCAAAAGCACTTTCTTGTTCTGATGTCCATTTAAATTCCACATTTTGTTATGTGAAAAGTGTCAAAAGCTCGGCTATTATAGAGAAATTCTGCACAAATCGTCTAAAATAACTAATTAATCTAATGAATCTTCTCAACTCATGTACATATTTAGGTGTTGGATACTTAATGATTGCCTTCAGCTTGTCTTTGCCCGGTTGGATTTTCCCACTGAAAATTAAAAATGCCAAAAACCCAATACTTTTGGCACCGAATACACACTTGGATGGACTCAAAGTTAATTTTGTCTTTATAAAACATTCCAACACTTTTCTTGTCTTTAGAATCATATCATTCCAATCCTCTGTTTCTAGTACCCAGCCGTATCAAGCAAAGACTCGTTTACCTTTTGGACAATCTCTAAAAATATGTCCAGACTAGTGACAGCGATAACATTTATAACTTTCAACATCACCTTTGACTCTATAATAACACTTTCACGCTTTTGTGGAATAACATATGTTGCATTTTTGTTTTGAACTGTGTTGCTACTGGGCCTTTCAGTTTTCATCATCCTTTCATGTCTAAGATTATTAAATCCCTCCCAATTAACTAGATCAGATAACAAACTCTCTTCATCATCATAACTCCTACTAAGAGCGTATAAAGCCATTTCTCGATTATATAGACTTTGTAGTACATGATCTTTCGTTTTAAAAATGTTTAAATTTAATTCACGTCACAATTTAACTTTATTTTGGAAAAAATCCATCAAACACTCATTTCGGTATTTTTTACGACGATACATTGTATTCCACTTATCTGTAACACGTAACTCCCGGACAAAAGTTAATTTAAATTTTAACAAAAATTCATCCCAATTGTTAACATTTCGTCCTAACAACCAATTGCTTGCAAACTGAACAAACTGAAGTCGCAGATTGAACGGCCAATTATTCAAATTAGCTAAGTCTTCCACTGAATTGAGCCAATCATCCGCTTCATATATGAACTCACAACCATTGAACACCTTAATAGTTTTGTTTAGATCTGGTGCAATTATAAATTCTGTTACAAGATTTCTTGTATCGATTCTGTAGTTTTCTTTTTTATAATCATCATTTGTTGATAAAGAATTATTACTGATTAACGATAACGTTTTAACTTCTTCGCGTAAAGCTTGAACTAAAGTTTTTCGGTTCCAAATCAAGGCAAAGACTTTTCATGACTAGCAATAATTATAGATCTTGTACTACTGATAAAAATACAAGTATAAGATTAAACAATTACTTCATTGATGATTGATAAGATAAGTTACATTTTTTTATTCAAATAGCAATCTAAATAATAATTTTTTTTTAATGCTTTATAAGCCCATTAAGGGTTAGTCTCGCCCAAAGGAGGACGTTTCTTAATCATTGATATTCCGGGACGGGTGGTTAGTCCATCACTCGAGAGAGGGATGGTGACTCCAATTACCTAACTGATCTCTCGTTCAGCTAATGAAGCCGCTCGTGACTGAATTTCGAACCTGAGGCAGTGCGCGTCAAGCACAACCGTGTTATCAATTCGGACACACCATCTCAAATAGCAACTATATTAATATGAAAACGATATAAATTTTAAGAGATGTTGAGACTTGACGGACGTAAAAGAAGTAATGAAAAATGTATTTTCTTTGATAGAATAAGCTATTTAGGTTTCTTAGTGACAACAAATAGAATATGGCCAATAAACATAAGATAAAATTAAATAAAATTATTATTATTATTATAAAAGACAAATAACTGAAAAATTGTTTATTTTATTCCAAGAGGTTTATTTTTTTAATTACCATTCGTTACACAAAAATCATAACTGATTTTTACTTAGGTTAATTTTACTGTAATATCAAATAGTTAAAAGGAAAAACAATACTTATAATACTAATCAGTAAAACAGAATATAAAATAAATATTAGTTTTACATCCTTCTATTGGTAATTATATTGGTTATTAAATATTATTCTTTGTTTTTATAACCAAAGTCGTAATTAGAAAATATGTTTAGTTGTTATACTTAAGAAAATTTTTTTTTTTTGGATATTCAAGACGAAGTTCTTCTAAAATAAAATCAATTGTATACAAATACACGATATTGGATTAATCTGATTAATAATGTATAGAGTGAACCAAATTTAACTGACAGTTCTTATAACTTTTCATTCAATAGTCATTTCACTGTTAATTTTTAAAAAATAATTTTTGCATTCTTAGACTACATTAAAAGCATATATTAGCTTCGATGCGAAGCTGAGAAGATATTGGTTTTACTAAGATGTGTTTATTTATTTATTTTTTTTTTTGTATCTGTTACCATTTTTTCTTGGCTCTCACCGAATCGATTTCTTTCAATGATACGTCAAAAGATCACAAATCGTATCTAGTCGAAGACATTACCCTAAAAATTTGAAAAAAATAGCTCATTCCTCGTAAATGGGGGAAACCTCCAAAAAAATTCCAAATTTAAAAATCGCTAATTTTCGAAATTTTTTCAATTTTTTTTACTTAAAAGTGCCATAACTTTTTCAAAAATGTACATATCAATATAATTCTTTTTTATATAGATGCATGATATCATTAACTTTCATTTGGTATACTTTTTTCATAAATTTAACCCTTAACCTGGCAACAAGGGGGGATTTAAAATGAAAACTTTTTCACAAAAAATTAACTTTTTCAACTTAACTTTTGAAAATGTTCCGAAAGGTCTGACACTTTTATATATATCTTAAATTAAAGATAATGTAATGTACTTAATTATGCAAAAAAAAAAATGTCGAACTTTATTTTATCTTCACATTGAAAATGGCTACCAAATTCTATTTTTGTGTGAAAATTTTCGATTTTGTATTTTACATTTTTAACTTTATTATGCTATAACTTTTTGAAAAATGTATAGATCAGTACAATTTTTTCATGAGAAGTAGTATTTTTTAATAATCACTTTTTTATTCGACATACTTTATCTTAATCAGGATATTAATAAGGAACTAGCAGATCATGTAGCTTTTGGAATAATCCGCCAATTTTTTAAAATTAAATACTATCTAAAGACTTGTATCGAAGCGTTTTTTATGATAGTGATTTTAATCATTGTCAGATATCATTATACTTGATCCAACTATGCTACGTCACCACTGTGCCGCGACCCCATTTGCTGGGTTTTTTTATTATTTGTCACTAATATATAAAAATTAACTAACAATTTATTTTATTTAATCAAAATTTCAAAATACCTATATTAGTCTTTTTCTTACAAAAAATTCAAAACAACAACAATTTTAAGAAAATTGCTTATTGAATTGTAAGAATTGTACTGCATTGAGTGATTATGAAGCGTGGATCTTAGGTATTATTATGTAGCTCTTAGGCTCGACTAACTGAGGAGATCACGCTGTGTTGCGAATCAGCCCTCAATTTTGGGTTAAATCACATCCTTGCGGTGTGACATTTAGAAATCTTCTTAGCCTTATGGTAATTTAATTATAACCCAAATAAGGCTGTTCGTAAAAATAAAATAAAATAAGTTGAAAAAATTGTGTTATTCAGGAAAATGAACAAATAGAAAAATAACTTAGATTTAAGTCTTTTTAATGATTAAAGAAAGGTAAAAAAATTGATAAATGATTGATATCTTTAAATACAGGTTTTATAGAATACACTTCTAAAAACACGTATGTAATTAGTAAATAATTTAGAGGAATATAAAAAATAAAATTGGCTTCAATTAACTTAAAGTTTCATTAAATTTATTTTAGAGTATTAATCATAAATTATTGTCAAATAAATAAGAAGTAAGAATATGTAAATTAAATTTTATTTGTATGATAAAATTTTAAATATAAGCATTTCACTAATCACAGATTATGATGATAACCATTGATGTAAAAAACCAGTTTACTTCGTTCTAGTTCGCACTAAATTTCCAGATAAAAATGCAGAATATCATTATCGCATCAGTCTATATCAATACGCAGTCATGAGTTGTCAGACTAATATTTTGTTAGCTAGTAAGTAAAATTTATACGTTAAAACATTAATTTTATTACTTTCAATACTAATAAAATATATAAAAAATAATTATCATGTTATGATAACTGAATTAATTTTGTAGCCAATATATTTTAATTGAAATCAGAATTACTATAATAATCTTCTTTGTTGTAACATTTGTATACAATATGAATTTTTTTATCAATTTTATTACTATTAAATTAAATGTTTAAACTTAAAATAACAATTTCTTTGGTAAAAACATTAAATTTATTATTTTTTTCCAATAATAATTTTAATAAATAACTAATTGTTAATAGTTATTTATACTGATTATAATAAATACTGTTTCAATGATTAGTAAAATCACGAAATAACTTGAAAGATTTTTTAACCTACTACAAAATTAATACATCTGTGAATTTTTTTACCATTATAATAGCTTCTTTGCTTTAAGATTTTCATATCGTTTTTAGTAAATACATCATCGTAATCACACTAAATATGAAAACATTTTTAACCTCATAAATTTTAAGAAGTTGAATATCATCAAAGTATAAAAAAGTACATTTTTAACAAACATTTTAAATTTATTCAAACGATCACAATAAATAGCTCATACATTCAAGTATAAAAAACTAAATTGTAACTGACTAATTAAGAATTATAATATTTTAAAAATTGTATATGAAAATTAAAATTTTCATCATTAATATATTTTGTTGCTTTTTAGATTATTTCACATTAAAAGTATACAGTGTGATTTTTATAAATTGATATAGCTTACTTTTTGAGATATTAGCATTTTAAGTTTTAGTAAAATTGAGAAGCGGAGTAATGTTAAGTGTCATTCTATTTTTATCATAACGCACAGATAAAAATTCTTCAACGTTTATAACAAAAGTTAATATCACTCGAAAATAATAATACAAAACTGACAATCGACCAATCAAAATTTTACTTAGACTATTTTACTATTTTTATTTAATAGTAAATAAATAATTGTAGGTTCCTGCTCAAGTTTCAAAAGTCACCCCTGAAATTTATCCTTAGAAATAATTTTTTTTTACTAATAACTTGATATTTACTATAATTTTAAAGAAAAAAATTAAATTCTAATTTTTACATTTTTATGAAAAGATCATATACAAAAAAAATGGGGGTATATTTCTTTCAAAATTACACTATAATCAAAAAGACCAAATTCATACAAAAAGTGGTTTGTAGTGTGTTAAGTTATTGCAACATTAAACAAAATCACCCAGTGATGAACATTTTTGTAATGAACATTTTAAATTTTATATAGTGCAAGAATACTATAAAATATTTATATTTGTATATAAAATTATTAAATTCATAAACAATTGTATTACATCGAATTATATATACTTATACGCTATCACACTTTATTTATCAATACACTTAGATTTCCTTAATTTTAAATTGACATTAGTTATTATATTATTTCTGAAACAGTAACTTCAAGGCCAATAGAAAAATTTCCATGGACTTTGCCTGTTATCGATTTAGTTAAATGTAGTAATATTTTTTCCTTGTTTTTATCTTAATTATTGTATTTTTATCATGTAAAATTAATAATTACATTAGTTATTTCAATAGCGATTTACCTTAGCATATTACTAAAAATATTATTCATATTATTGTTTATTAAAATTTTAAGTTAAATTCTACAATAATTCTTTTGAACAAGTTTTTATACTTATAATTTGTAGTCGGATGATCAATTAAGTTTTATAATGATACTTGAAATTTTGTGAAAAAAAAAAGCAGCTGTTATATTCTAGGGTACGTAAACTAGATATATATCACAAGCCTTGATATTATTTTTAACTGAAAATTTTTTATCGAAAATTTGATGAAAATAAAACCTAAATGTTATCCTGAAACGTAGTAGGGAAAGTATTAATATTTTTTTTACTCTTATATTATACATATAAATCTTAGCTGGTTTTTTTTAGTATGTTTCAGTGTATTCCTAATAAATACCACAGATGGATTTCAGGGAAACTCTTTTTTAAGACCACCTAGGCAACTTAATCAACGTCCAAATAGACCTCAATCGAACAACAACAACTACGACGAATTTAGTGGACTTGATACTAATTGGAACAGTAATAACAATAATCAATTCGCACAAAATCAAGGATCTACTAATGGACAAAATTTTGGAAATAGACCAAACAATCAATGGCCAAACACTGGCAATAATGGTCAGGGTGTTGGCAACAGACCAAATAATCAGTGGTTGAATACTGGTAACAACGGTCAAAGTTTTGGAAACAGACCAAGTAATCAATGGTCGAATATAGGTAACAATGGACAGGGTTTTGGTAGCAGACCAAATAATCAGTGGTCAAATAATGGTAACGAGAATCAGGGAACAGATTGGAATAATCCGGATAATCAATCTTTTGAAGGCGGAAATCAGAGTGAAACAGCAACTGACAGTTCTAACCAACAAAGTTCGAACAGTTCTGTAAGTGAATCTCTTCGCAATTCATGTACAACAAATTGTAGAACAAGAGTGACATATGAATACAATCCAGTCTGTGGCTCTGACAATTTGGTGTATCAAAATGCAAGATTCTTGGAGTGCATGAGAGATTGTGGAATTCGTAAGTTATAATTTCAAAAATATATAATAAAAGTGATTATTAATTGATATATCAGTTGAAAAAATATTATTTTCAGTTTTTCTAAATATTATATAATTTTTTTTTTCCTTTCGCATTTATCTTCAACAACTTTTTGCAACAAAATATCACTTATCATAAACATTATAAATTTATACCAATTGTGATAATGTTTAATTAATTATATTATCAGTTTATTTTACTTTAAATAATTTCCAATAATAAATCATGGGAAATTAGAAAATAACTAGTAACATACTTACTGCAAAATTACAAGTATATGACTTATTCGATCGACATCTAGTTTTTATATGTATACGTTGTAATAAATCTATAACTTGAAGTCAATAGATATAGTAATTCTAATCTCTTTTGTAGTCAATTTCATTATTATTCATGACTCAAATAAAATTTAAAAACAGTCAAAACTTTATGTACCTTTTACAATGTATGGTACTATACTATCTAAAATCGGTAAAAACAATGGGGTCGCGGCATAGTTGGGATTAGTATTGATGATATCTAACAGTGATTAAAATCACTACCCAAAAGAAACGCTTCGATACAAATCTATAGATAGTGTTTAATTTTAAGAAATTGGTAGATTATTCAAAAGCAAAATTTTAACTCAAAAAGAATTAAGGAAAAATTGCAAAAAAATCAATGTCACAGGCAATGATTTTTACTGAATCAGTAAACGTTCGTCGCATTCGTTTTTTGATAAAATTGGCAATTTAAGCTGATTCAAATGTTAAAATTAATTTTTTTGACTCAAAAAAAAAAAACTGAAATAAATTTAACTTTATATTACATGTCAATTAGTTTTATATAATATTCATGAAAATCAGTGTACCTCATTATAAGGTATATTAAAATACAAAACCAAGAATTTTAACACATAAATAGCACATTTCTGAATATGATGACCATGTTAACTATATCTGGAATTTTTTTTTTCATAGTATAGTATAGTATGATACATTGGCTTTAATATAATATTAAATAAAAGTGTCAATATTTCCTGGAAATTTTTCAAAGATTAAGTAAAAAAAGTTTAACTTGTGTGTAAAAATTGTTATTTTTAAATCCCCCTGTGGTCATGTCAAAAGTCTGATTTTCAAAAATGTATATCAAATGAAAGAAGTAAACATAAAATATTTGTATTGATTATAATAATTGTATTTTCAAATAGTTATAATAATTTAAAGTTGAAAAAATAAAATATGAAATCGTAAATTTTAACATCAAAATTGCACATAATTTATCTACGGCAACCATTTATCTTCGGGCCAAATTTTTTTTTTCAACTTCTAGTTCATAATATTAGCTTTATTTTAGTAGATGTTTGAAGCATGGAGTATTTCCGGAACATTTCAACTTAAGTTGAAAAATTAAAATTTTTATGTAGAAGTTGCTATTTTGAATCCCTCCTGTAAGCAGATAAAGGGTCATATTTTCAAAAAAATTATATCAAATGAAAGAGAAATATCTATGGTTTTAATATCAAAAAGAATTATTTTTATTCGTTCATTTTTCAATATGTTATGACAATTAAAAAAAAAAAAAGTTTAAAAAATGTCGAAATTTAACGATTTCAAAATTCGTAATTTTTGGGGATTTTCACTATTTACGGGGAACGAGGGAAAATTTTGAGAGTAATGTCTTCAACTAGATACGATTTGTGATCTTTTGTTGTATTGTTGAGAAAAATTGGTTTAGTAAGAGCTGAAAAAATGTAGTGACAGAAACAAAAAGAAATATACACATCATGATAAAATTAAAACCTTATTCGCATCGAAGCTAATAAATGATTTTTTAACGTTTATGTTAGTGATCCAGATACAGATCACTAGCACATAAAATATAACTGTCTGTATTACTTCAAATGTTTACTTTTCACACAAACCTAATAGCATTTGTTACTCACAATTTGTGTCAATACACTTTATTACCAAAAGTTAAAAATTTTAAGTTTGTATATTAATAATTAATATACAAGAAATAATTTAATTATCTTTTAGGAACTCATCAGCTTTTAGACATAATTTTAAATCAGTTTATTTTCAAATTGATATCGTCAAAAATAAAATAAAACTATTAATTGTAATTGTTAGTTGTATATCTATCTAAATTACAGTTTTCGTGAAATAAATAAATAACTATTGAAATTTAATATTAAACAAGTTCTAAATTTGTCTGATAACTGGATTAACTACTAAACAAAGTATAAAATGGAAATATAAAATGTGTATTTAAAATAAAAAATTAATTAATTTTCATTCACTAGAGACTTCTTAAACTAAAAACAGTAAATGTATTTTTTAAACTTTATTCTAAAGAGAACTTTGAATTAAATCATTCAAAGTACTCTCTACATAAAAATATTTAAATATTAAGTGGCTTATTAAAAATAAAAGGTTCAAAATTTGTTCGTCTCAATTTTTATAATTGCTAAAAAATATTTTTCACGAATTATAAATTATTACTCGTATAAAATATAAATTGATTCAAATTATATCTAGCTTTTCTATTTTAAGTTGCATGATTATTATTTAAACTTTATTTTTTAAATTATTTTTTTAACAAATGACCCTTTATTCGTGTGATCCAAATTATATAAATCATACGAACACGTGAATTTACTAATATTACCTCAAAAATATATACATTACTTTAACAAGTTCAAAATATGTTCACAATATGTTTAACTAATTCTAATTTTTTTTTTTGCAGCTACTCAACAAACCCACGCTGGTACTTGTGCAAACAGACCATAACCAAAATATTTTTTTTTCATTAAATTAAGTAGAACTTTTTGTTATTATATAATAAATTTGTCAATATTTATATTTTATTATTTCAAAAATTATTTTAATGAACTTTTTTTATTGTTTAACAAATTGACTATATTAAAATAGATGTATTTTTTATTTGTTTACCTTTTATTAAATTTACAACTTAGATTTTAGCAGTTCTCTGAAGTTATCTAATATAGTTAATTATATGATTAATTTATTATATTAAAAAAGCTCTTACATTTATGAAAGGCAAATCAAACATTTCTGTTTTCTAGCGCATAAAATAATTATTAAAATTTAAAACTTTATCATTTTAGAATGATGGTTAAAAATATTAAATTGAATTACTAAAAACACTAAAATAACATTTTTTGTTTAAATTCGGGGCCATTTACATGTTGTTAAGAAAATTTTTTTTTAACTTATAGTAAATAGCATAAGCTTTAATTTATCATATCATATTTTTTATACTTAAAACCCTCAAATAACTAAACTATATGCTTTGCCAAAAATTCATAAGCCAGGAAATAATATAAGACTTATTGTGTCGATTTTTAACTTACAATTTGGCTAAACACTTAGTAAGGGTATTTTGATCTATTCAAAAAGTCGATTGGTTTTCAGTTAAAAATAATATTCACTTAATTCAAAAATTATCTGTTTATACTATTCAAAATAATGATAAGTTAATTTAAAAATAATAATATTTTTAATATAGTTTTAATTTTATATATTATTAGTCACAAGTGATTATTTTTTATTATAGACAAACAAAAAATATAAATTTGTTTTTTTGTTTTATCTATAACAGATTACATTATAAGACTAACATTGTTGATTTCAGCATTTAACTAAAAGTTAGTAGAATAGTTAACAAATTCTAACTCTATCCAATAATTAAAAAAACAGTCACGTAATATAGATTGATTGTATAAACAAGCCTCAAAATAATTTTGCATTGTATGTGTAAAAGAAAATTCTACAGTAAAAGAAAATATACTGGAAACCATAATTACTCTTTTCTTATGATAGATTTATCAATATCCTATAAAAGTGATCTAAATTCTTGCTCTTCGTTAAATTGCAATGGACTTTCCCATAAACGCGTTTCAATGATGTTTTATTTTTGCTCGATAACATTTTAATAAATATTAAGTATACTGCAGTGATGACAAATCAGTCCACGAGATAATACAGTTCATAATTTTCAATTATGATTTTGTCAACCGGTACGTATATTATTACACATAATATATTTATTAATTTATTAATTAAAAATTTCATATTTCATTGACCTACTAAATATTTACTTGACAATTTTAATTAAAATAATCTGTAACTTATATATATATATATATATATGTTTTTTAATAAAAAAATTATATTATTTTTTATATCAATTAAGAACATAAAAGATATCTTTTTTTAAATTTCATTCAATAAAATACACTTTTCTTTATTGAAGATATAATTACAAGCAAAAAATATATCAATCTACTAATTATGATGTTACCACATTTCTTAAGTAGGTTTAAGGGGGGTAAAAACGTCACCAAAAAATGTTCATGTTAGATTTATTATGCATATTATCCCTAATTTTTTGATTCAACTAATTATTTTTTCATAAAAATTTGCTGAATAAAATTTAATTTATGTTTATGAACTATAGTAAAAATTTCCTATTTAATTTTCAAAATTTACACTTAAAAATTACTCTTAGAAAAAAATTGCAATAAAATTGATATTTATCATAGTTATATTGTCTAAAGAAACTTTTATATATCTTAATATTTAAAACAATAATTTTTAGTTCAAATTTTAATGTTGAAGGAGAGCTGTAGAGCCACTCCCAAATTAGGTTATATAACATACTGAATAGATAGGTTAAGTTGTCATATCTCTATACAATATTGTGTGAATGATTAGCAATTTTTTTTATCTTATACCAATAACTAGTCAATTTTTTTTCCTAAGCTAAGCTCCTTAGACTCTCCCCATCCTACGCCTATGTTTATAGTTCTTTCCAAACCTTGAAGTGATGAGCAAAAATTGTTGTAGAATGAGATTTATCAAAACGAAACAACATTTTATCTGAATCTGATTACTTTTTCAGTTATAACCTGACTTATCTTTGTATAAAGTATGTTTCAGTATTATAATGTCTTATACCAGTAATGGGGCTTTTGTTGATCATAAATTAACTTCAGAAGTTTTACATGAAGAAATTAATTTAGGTAATAAATTCTCGTTTAGTACGAGTAAGCAAAACAAAGAACAATCAATAATTAAACGACAAACACATCTTAATAATTTTAACGAAGTAGGAATTTATAAAACAAGCTTTGGACCAAGTTTACAATATAGACCCAGCCGTCTTTGGCCCTATAATATTAATCATGAATTAAGTTTTGGGGATAGGCCAAACTATCAGAGGCCCAATAATGGAAAAATTGTTATAAATGAACAAAATAGCCAATGGTTCAACATTCATAACACCCAACAAAATATTCGACCCCATTCAAATAACTATCAAACTAACCTAGGAAATAATGAACAATCGAATAATCACTGGTTAAACTATAACAATCATAATCAAAATGGACTAGATTTTGAGAATAACAAGAACAATCTTTATTGGGGTAATAATAACCAAAATAATCAAGGACTATTAAACAATGTTCAAAATGGAAACCAATTAACAACAAATAATTCATTTGCTTTTTCACAACGTAACGCATGTAATTTAAGATGCAGAAAAAGGGTAACATTTCAATATGATCCTGTATGTGGAACTGACGATATCACTTACCAAAATAGAAATTATTTAAATTGCATGAAGGAATGTGGAATTGGTAAGGATAATAATTTTTAAATAGTAATTCATTTAAAATAATATCAGTTAATAATAAATACAATTTCAAAGAATTATATTATAAATTAAGTTTTAAGAAACTATATAAAACTATAGATATGTATTACATTGTTTTTGATTTCTTGATATATTTACAAAAATGGACTATTGCCGTTTTTCCATTGTACTTATTATATGCTTTCAAACCAAATAATTACTTTAAATGACCAAATAGAAATTACAATAATTTTGGTTTGTATTCTGAATCCACTTTTAAGCTTTATAAAACAACAAAAACATAGTGTATAACATTGGTTTCGGTGAAACTATTCGCTATAGTTCTTATTTAAAATTAAATCTGTATTAAACAATTTTTTTTTATTTTTAACACTTTATATGCTCATTAAGGCCATAGCGGCCTTCCTCAAAAGAGGAGGTTTATAAACCATTGATACTTCGGGACGGGTGGTTAGTCCGTATTAAAAATATTAATTTAAAACTAAAAAATTAAACTCAAAAAATTATACAAGTACAAAAAAAAAAATTTTTTTGGAGCATAGTTAATATATTTATATTAGTTCATCGTGTTTTATTTCAATTTATAAGAGGAAAGTGAATTCATTTAGAGTAAGTAAATTTTAGATGCATACTGTAAATAAAAACCCAATTAATATTATTAACCAAAAAGTCGTTAAAAATATTTAAAAACTACAAAAATAGTAATATTTTATATAACAATACAATTCATAATGTTTCTATAAAATTATATCAAAATCTAAACTTATATGCGATTTAATGGGCAATGATTTTATTTATTTAATATATTATCATAAAATCTTAAAAAATAATACGCGTCTAAAAAAATGAATAAATAAATAATTAATTACTTAAGAATAACACATCTAATTTACTAATTACTCTAATATAATTATTGACAATTTAATTGTTTTTGATAAAATGGTTATTTCATATTTTTCAGTAACCGAAATGGAATACTTTGGTAAATGTGTGACTACAACTCAACGCATTCTTACAGTATAACTAAAGATGTAAACAAGAGTTTAAACAAATTTGATTATATTAAATATCATGACCTTATTAAAGAAACTTGTATTTTTTTATTCTAACTGTTATTAATACACAATTAATAGATTATTTTTACAATGTACACTAACTGAACGTTTTGTTTTAATTAAATTTGTTTTTTTACTTGTCCCATACGTTTTGTAAAATTGTAATACTACAGTTTTCCCATTAGAAAACTTTTTTACATTGTATACAACATAAATTCAACAACAATGCCTTGGTATTAGTTTAAATTATTATTGTATGTTGGAACCCTACTAAGGTAAATATCAACACACGATAACAATAACGCCAATATAAATCGTTTAACTCGGCTTCCTCCACGTTTTTAATATCACGATTTGCGTTGTTAAAAATCGCAGTTTATCTTAGCAGAATTCCAAGGACACTCAGTGCCTCTTTTATTTTACTTTTTCAAATACTAATTCAAATACACAATACTTTGTTTGATCTTGAATTAAAATGTCTTATGTATTAGGCAAAATCTGAAAACATTTAAGCACAAGTAGTTGTATTGTTACTACAATTATTTACTCTTATTAAACTTTAAAAAGGAGTGTTTTTTATCTAACATTTTAGATTTTGTCCTAAAAGCTAACGTTTTATTTATGAGATTACAACTTATTGATTTAAATGTAGAATCTTTGAAATGGTATCATTACATTTAACATTTATTGAATAAATGTATATAAAATAATTTTTTTATGTAAGGGAATTATTTACTTCAGAAATTAATTTTTTTGTTTTCAATTCTTTTTTATGTTCAGTCAAATATTAAGTTACAAAATCAAAACTAATATCAGTTGCCTAGATTTCAAGGGGTGTGAATGAACATTTTTAGTTCCAAGAATATCAAGTAAAAAGTTTTTATTTAATTGCTGTGTACAAATACAATTTAAGAGATCTTTCTAATGTATCTTTCAAACTTTTATTACCTAGCAAACAAATAATTTGTGATCCAGTTGTACACCTAATTTAATTTTTCTAAAAGTGTCATTCATAACCTCTGTTTTCTTAGTGTAACATTAAAAATAAAAATGATAATGATTGCTTAACATTTTTTTTTATTTTACTGACATAGAAACTCGATTGTAATTTATGGAAGAAATAAAAATAATAGTCATATGTATGTATTTTTATGCTGATTCTGTAGTATTATATTTTATTCCTTTACTTGTATTTTTTTTATTATTTTTTGTTTTAACACTTTTGAGAACTACCGACCTGATCCTCTTTTTCCATTTCACTTAATTCTCTTCTTGCATACTAACAACCTGTTTTGAATTTTTCACTTCATACATTTACATTTTTTTTTATATAAATTTATATTTTTCTATTATCATATGCTTTATCAATTTCACCACTTACTATCAAACAATATACTTACCCGATTATTTTTTTTCTTATGTCACCTTGTGGAACCATACCACAACTATTTTCATAACATGAAATGAACATATCAAGTTCATTAATAGTTTGTACTCATTTTAATATTGTTAAGCAATAATTAATTTTATGTATCTTAGTTTTCACAAAAAATTTAATTAAGTCATGTCGAGCAATTTTTCAAAACATATGTTGTTAAAATAGCTATGATCAGAAAGTTGATTGCAAAATTACAAATAAGGTTTTTATCTTTTATGTTAGATATATTCTCAATTTTTTAATTTATTCCTTTCCATGACTTTTAAAATTTTTCTTGAGTAAATATTTTTAAACGTTTTGGAAATGTAG